GTTACCAGAAGCTAAGGTATAAATTGGCTAAGTATGTTTTGTTAGATGATTAGTTATATTATACAATAGTCGATGGGGTATTGCTCAAGTGCTTGAACCAAGAAGAAGCTAAGGTGTTGATGGGTGAGGTGCATGAAGGGATATGTGGAGCTCATCAATCGGCTTATAAGATGAAATGGATTATTCGCAGAACTGGATATTTCTGGCCAACGATACTGGAAGATTGTTTTGAATATTACAAGGGGTGTCGGGACTATCAATGTTTTGGTAATGTCCAGATCGTCTCAGATCGGCCATGAACCGATAATCAAACCATGGCTATTTCGGGGTTGGGGAATTGATTTAATTGGCCGATTTTTCCGCCTTCTTCAGCAAAGGACATAAGTTCATATTGGTAGTAATAGATTACTTTACTAAATGGGTTGAGGCAATTCCTTTGAAAACGGTAACCTCAAAGAACATGACCGATTTTGTCGGGGAACACATTGTGTATCGCTTTTGGGATTCCTCAAACTATAACCACTGATTAAGGGACAATGTTCACATCATAAGAGTTCAGAGATTTTGCTGCCAGTATGGTGATTAAGCTATTGAATTCCTCCCCTTACTATGCCTAGGCTAATGGCCAAGCAGAGGCGTCCAACCAGATTATGATTAAGCTGATCAAAAAAAAGATCGAGGAACAGCCAAGGAAGTGGCATTCGACGCTAAATGAGGCACTATGGGCATATAGGATGGTCTCGCCATGGATCAATTAAGACGCCACCTTACAAGCTTGTGTATGGCCATAATGCAGTTCTTCCTTGGGAAGTTCAGACTGGATCGAGGCGTGTTACCCTGCAGAATGATTTGTCAACTGAGGTCTACAAGAATCTTATGATAGACAATTTGGAAGACTTGAGTTGCCTTCGACTGCATGCTCTTGAGAATATCAAAGCCAATAAACTAAGGGTTGCGAAATATTATAATAAAAAGGTCAAGATTAAGCAATTCTCCGAAGGAGACTTGGTTTGGAAAGTGAAATTGCCGATCGGATCAAAGGACAGTAAATTCAACAAATGGTCACCTAACTGGGAGGGACCCTATCGGATCAAACGTTAGCGCTACCGATAATGCTTATATTTTGGAAACATTAAAAGGAGAAGAAGAATTTGGCCAAGCAATCAACAGGAAATATTTAAAGAAATATTATCCTAGCGTTTGGATCAATACTTAATAAATGATCTGTTTGGCCAATAGCTTTAATAACTCATATTGAAAAAATATCGTCTCCAGTGCAAAAGATGAACCCAAAGAAGTAAAAGCCGATACGGTGTATATCGCCTATAGAAGCAAAGCAAACACAAACAGAATGATGGGTATAAAGCACGAAACAATGGGAAACCACTCAAGGCGAGGAAGTTATTTGCTAAACATCCCATATTACAAGCTACGGGCCAGAAAACACTTTTCCTACTATATCGTCGGCCAGAGTATTGAAAGCTACAGAGTTGGCGGCGTTCATAAAATCTTCAACCAAGCGCTCATGCTCCCCAGGGTGCACTGCATCTGAAAAACAATGGGGAAGAAGCCAAAGATTATGGCCCGAATGGGCTTGTGCAGAATAAGCGCCATGGCGGCCATGATTTAATGCCATGAAGGGCGACCTCCCTGACACGATTCGGGATGTCATGCAAGCGAACCACCGGAACGGCGCCCCTAGCATTAACAAATCCCGCCGCATGATCCGCAGCTGATCGAAGACTCTCCAACTGAGCAGTTAGATCTAAGAGATTCAAGGAAAGAGTGATTAGAGATCTTGAGAGTAAAATCAAGAAAAAACAGAGAAATAATGATAGACATCTCACCCATGATTCTAGCTTCAGCCCTGGCCAACCTTTCCCTCACCAGGCTGACCTCGGGGGGAGATCGATCTTTGATCATGGCCAAAGCCGATTCCGCTAGGGAGAGGTAGTTGGCTAGATGCTTGTCGGTCCGATCGATGGAGGCCAGCAGATCATCATTACTGATTTGTCGCCTCAGGTGACAGGGAAGCTGGCGGTGGATTGGTGCCAAAGATGACCCCGAGGGCTGGGCGGAGTTGGCCCTTTGATCCGGCGATGGGAGCACCCCAAGATGCGCCCTCTTGACGACGAGGGCGCTATGTGATGATGTGGATCTATTGAGGGCTTCTTCAGCAGACCTCTTGTTGTTCTCCATGACCTCAAACCTACGAAAAAGGCAAAAGATGTACTGAAGACGAAGAGGGGTTGAGACGAAGAGGGTTGTTTTTTGATTCACAGTCATAGCCCGTATATATAGCCTGGGAAAGCAAGAAGATAGATTTCGATGGAGGTGTGAAATTGAAATCGGAAACGGAAACGGATCAACACTCCAGAAATTCAGGGGACGGATAACGAAGAGATAGCAGACTCAAATTTATTGCTCCCCCTGATTACAAAATATCGTGGGGTGGATACATTGACAAGAGATTAACCCACCAGAACTTCTTTGGATTGAAGGGAGTCCAGATTTCCACAAGGTCAAAACTCATTGTGAACCAAGTCGCATCGGCCCATCAATAAATTATACCAGAGAGAAAAAGAAAGTTCACCTTACCTAACATATGCTCAACAGATTTCTCGATAAATTGAGGAACTATGGGAAAGAAACCTGAGGCTTTTCCGATGGGCGTTTGGAGGACCAACAAGGGGAAGGTGATCACACCTTCTAGCCCTCGCAAACACTAGAACAGCCTTGTGAGCATGGAGAGAAGACTCAGGTGATATCACAAGAATTCTTCTAACCGCAATGGCTGGTCTTCTTGCCCAACGAGGCGCTAGAATAAGTGACACAATCACCCTATGCACAAGGATTCTTCTAGCCGCTTGAAATCTTCATAAGATAGACCATGGAGGGTCCAGCGGAACCGGAAGCACTTGAGGGAGCAGATGGGAGAAAAATATGGCTGAATCGTTGAGTTGCTCTCGCCAGGGTCGAACAGGCATGTTATAGCCGGCCCGGAAAGATGAATCCAAGCGTCCGTGAAGCAATGACACTCTTGTAAAAAGTTTTGAGGCGTAGGCTCATGAGTTGACGCAAGTGGCAACGAACAGTGGATCCCAGATCAAGGTTCTATACCCGTGACTGTGGACCAATCAGGGATACATACATGATAATTTTGGAATAAAATTACCTTTATTCTAAAATTAGGGGACATGTGTTTACACCAAAATTTGGAAGAAGAGTTGCAGGGACTGGAAAGCTTCCGAGATCGTGTTATCAAGAAATCAATTACGTGCAGATCAGAACCAGCTGATTCGGATGCAAAAACTAGAATCGGCTTTCTTCATATAGCGCCAGCGGATAACGACAAAGGCTACGTTCGGCATCAGGACGAAACATGCTGGACTCTATAAAAGGGAAAGATTAGAGTCTAAGCTATCTTAAAATTAGGAATGTTTTCTTTAGGGTCAAAAATTGTGATGAGTCATGCTTAGACAGGAGTCATGCACAAGTCCTGGGTATAAATATCAAGCCCCGGCTATTGTAAAAGGACATCAATTAATCCAAATACAAGTCAATTATTTTTTTCGGCTTCGGCCACCCCTTAGGAGTAGGAGTAGAGTAGATCTCGGCGAGTTCTTCAGCGAGTATGGCTGCATCGATCTGGTCGACCTCCACTGCTTGTCTGTAAGTACCGTCATGGTTTATACCTCTGTTCGTATGGATGTATCTATCCGGTCGACCCCCACTGCGGCTCTGGTATAAGCTAGTTATCGACTCTTGTTTAATTCAAGTATGGCCTGTGTGATTCTGCCTTACACCCCACTACTTGAATTACATCAAGGTCAAATTATCGGCTCTACCTTAGAATGGCAATCTTTGGTAGATTCATTAAGTTACCGATATTGCTTATTGCTTTCATTATTTATCTAATTACAGCAATATCACTCTGTCCGATTGAGATTGATTTAGATCGACCTTATATCTTATTTGACCCATCGTTTGCTAATCTAATACTGATCTAATATATACCTTAAACGATGAGTTATGTTTTATCGGTTGTTTTATACCAATCTTAATCGTGCATAACGTATGCGGTTAAGGCATGTTAAATCTCGAGTAGATCTATTGGTTAGCGAAAACCGTTCAAGCCTTGTATGTTATCTAGTCACTGTTGCAGTAGGGCAACTGTACTTAGATGGATACAGTTGTATAAATAGACTACCACGGCAACTCAGTAAAGAGAGTTCAGATTTGCCATCTACCAGACAGGGCTTCGGCCAATGCTGGTGTCTTGTACTGTGTGTGCATGCTCTGTTCTCCCTTCTTCTTCTAGTTCTAGCCATAGTGTGTGGGGACGGACAACGCTTGTTCATGGTCGGTACGGCTAGTGGGTGCTCGGCAACACTAGCAGGTGCTCGGTAAAACTGATGAGTGGTTCACTCACCTGAGCCGGTGATCCTGCGAGCCAACAAAGATGACAAACAAATGGATATCTATATCAATTACAAGCGCTAGAAGTGTAATGCTACTGTTCAGGTATTCAGGTGTCGAACATGTTCAAGTTGTCGGGTAAATAAATTCAGAATTGCAAGCTGTCATCCACTGATCAAAATGTTTTCTTCTTCTTTTTGTTTGATACACGCGCTGAAACTCATCCATGGTTGCTGGACTCATGTGTCTCACAGACAACACCACAAGTCCACAACAGAAAGGCTGTGGCTACTACCACCAGACCTCGCATGAAAACAAAGAACCCTCCCCAGGACAAGGAAAGCGAAATCATTACGAATCCACCGTGAAACCACCAAGAGTACTAAAGACCTTGCCTAAACTGTCTATCATTGGCAAAGCAGTAATGAACTGGCCATTGGTTGAAAACAACAAAGCTTTATGACGCGCATACAGAACAAGAAGACATGTGACCGGTGACCCTCTCCTTACACCAACAAGGCAGCAAGTAGGGCACGCGCAAGCTGTAGACATTTGCTCAATAACGGAAACTGGAAAAGTACTTAGATACCTAGAAAATAATCAAAGAAAATCGGACAGCTAATACTTCTGCGAAGGAAAAGGCTGCGCGCTCCTTCGGAATCGGAAGCTAGCTAGTATGCGAGAATCGCACGGTACACCAAGCAGATAAACACTGCTATATACCAGATCCACGCGAACAGAAAATGGTAACTTCTGCAAAATTACCGTGCGGCCAAAACACTGAAATAGAAGGCCGAAAAGAAAGAAATCGCAGCTAATACGAGCAAAGTGAGTCTCATCCCGGCACATGATTGTAGGGAGAGAAATGGAAAGCACCTAGCGTCAGAGATCATGTACAAAGATCAAAACAATATCGACAGATCCCGAGCAATCGGACGCCGCAAAGTGCAAAAGTAGGAGAAGATGGAAGGAGAAGATGAAGAAGGGTGGGATGGAGCTCACGTCATAATGGCAGATGTCGTTGTCGGCCACCTGCACGACGAAATGGTTCGCGCGAACGAGGAGCTTCCTTCCCAACGTGCCGAACCCGGGCCGCGAAGGTGGACTGATCCCCTTGCTCGAGAGGGGCGGAGGCTGGTGCGCAAGACCTTGCGCCGCCTCGGATCTACCTGCAGCAGGCGCGGGAGGAGCCGGGTCGTCCGCCACGGCCAACCTCCCCATGCCTGCCGCCAAGGCAGCTCCAGGTCCAGCCGCCCCGGCGGGTGCTCGCAGCGCTTGCGCCGGCGCAGAAGACGAGGCCGCTGCTGGAAATGCCGGGGCAGCGACCGGCGCTAGAGGGCGAGGCGCGGCGGGGCGGGCTGGTATCGCCACGCCGACGCTGCCCTCTACGTTCCCGATCGGTGGCGGCGGCTGCTGGTAGCTGACGCCACCTCGGCCTCCGGGTCCGCGGCCTCCCTCGTCGCCGCAACCGCCGATCCCGATCCCGCGCCCTCGGCCCAGGCCACCGCCTCGGCCTCCGGTTTCGTCGCCGCGACCGTAGGGTGGAGGGTAACCTCCGCCGCCACCGATGCGGCCACCGATCCCGCGCCCCCTGCCCTCGCCGCCCCGCCCACCACCAGAGCCTTGCCCTCCGCGGCCACCGCGCCCACGCGAAGCCATGGTGGGAGGATTGGGGTTTTGCAAGGTGGAAGGCGAAGTGGAAGTAAAGAAGTAACTGACTAGCAAGATGACTCGGGCGGCACGTTTTATAGCCAAGATGGGCACGCAGACGACCCGGCGGCTGCACGCCTGCACGCAGTCCTCCGGCCTGATCCTGTGGGGAGCGGACCTCTGGGCTATGCCGAAACTCACTGAATGTGGGGCCAGCCTGACGTGGGTCCCACTTGTCAATGAAGATAGAGTATACTTCTATGTACAACTAGCCTAGGCGCATAGTCCGGTCTAAAATCCACGAGATTTTTCTTCTGGAAAAGAAACGTGAAACCACCGACTAAGTTTCCAAGTATAAATCCACGTAGTTTTGTGACCCTTGGATCCAAATCTAACCATTGATATTTTATCTAAACCATAATCCCTCAAGCACCCTCCTCACCGCACGCCACCGCCGCCACTTAGGGATAAAACGGATGGAAACGGGTGGAAAAACTCATCTGCCGTTTCCATTTCTATATTTTTAGAAACAGGATCGGATACGGAAAAAAACAAAACTAAAACAGATGGGGATGTACAGAAACTGACAAATATGGATGGAGAGTTCGAAAATTAAGTTAGAATAATATGATCAAATATTCTCGAGTATACATGAAAAAAGTCACAACATAATATATACGTACGAAGTTATTGGTCCAATATTCACTGGCATGCCATCTTTTAACATGTTTACATGCATAATTAGTGATTAGTAGGTTTATGGACATATCAATTTCTGCATATATCTTACCTAGATTGAAAACGGGATGAAAAAGGAACAAATACGGGTCATTTCTGGATGAAAAAGGGATCACGCGGAAACGGGTGGGAAAGCCCATCTCTTGTTTACGTATTTGATACGGAAAAGGGTGGAATAAAGTAGAAAATGGAACACGTCCGGTTTCAACCTTAGATGTGGTGTATGTGCGGGCAGCTACTCTTTCTGACGCCGAGCATTGTCCATTGTACGAGTCGCAGCAGCCAAGCCACCTCTCAGTCAAATGATCTCATCCAGTCACCCCGCGGCAGGCTGGTTGCGGCAGCACTGTCCTGTTGTACAGTAGGGAGCATCTACCGAAAAGGGCGCTGATCATGAAACAGTCCTGGCCTGTGTGAAATGCATATATACTCAAAAGTACTCTTGTGGGTGCCCTTTTCCAAGTATCTTTTGTTTTGTTTATTTTGTTAGGAAATCATCTTTAGTGTTTGACGGTGGTAAACCAGATCGTGGACTCTTGATTTCCATCGGTTTCCTGCTTGCTTGCTTGCACTGCAGAATATGACACCATGCATAGAGTAGCTTTACTCTTCTGCGAAGGAAAGCATATCAGATATCATTATATTATATTCTCAGTACGCCATATATATATCAGTCGTCATCACTAAAGACACAGCAGCAACAAGGAAACCAAAGCATCCTATTCGTTGCTTCGCTAGTGTTATTTTTGCATATTCAGTGAAATAAAAGAAGATGCAATGCAATACACAATCTCAAAAATCAGGCTTCGTCTTCCTTTGTTCAAGGAAAGGACAGCATCATGTTCATTGCTTGTGTTATTTATTTATTTGTTCAAGGAAAGCAGAAGAATCGCAAAATCCCTTACAGGCCAAGCCAAGATCGGATTGGAGGTGCTGTACTTTGTTGTATTAAATTACTTGTTTTTGCAAGGTGATCGATGTTGTAGCTTTTGCTTTGTTCCGGTTGCCAACGCTAATTGTCTTGAGATTCCAATTTATCGTGTAAAGTAATGCCATATATTGTGCTAATCCAAAAGAAAAGGCATGTGCCATATCAAAAGAAAAAGAAAATAAACGGGTCCAAAACAGAATAGTGGTCCGGCCAAGACAGAATTATAAACGGGTCCTTACTACTACTAGGGAGCTGAACACGTAATTTGAAAGTATCGAGTTGGATGAGAACTCGGGACAGTTTAGAGAGTTGAATGTAGCAAGTACCGAGATTTAGATGAGAACTCAGGGCAAGTTCGAGAACCAGTAATAAAATTTACTCTAAAAAAATATTCTAGCTCGGGTGAGACAAATAGCCCAATCCAATAAAAAATATTAACGGTCTAGCTTTAATAAAATACTAGCAAAACATGTCCGTACGTTGTAACAGAACATATAACTCGGTGGTTAGTCATATAGACAATTTATGTTGTGAAAATTTATTCAATGATCATGTCATCTATTCCAATGCGCATTGAAATTGGACTTCATACCACTGTTGGGTGCGCACTCTTGTAACTCGTATGAGCATGAGCCATGACTTCGGATCACATACGAGATAGAGATGGACAAAAACGTATTGTGGGAAATATAAAAGTATGGGCAGAAGAATCCATTCTCTTCAGGACATGATCGAGGGTTGCATTGGCTGTCATTTGTTCCAAGACGTCTTGAAATCAGACTTTGTACTGTGAGTAGACGTGCTCTATTATAACTCGTATAAGCACGGGGTGTGAGTTCGCTTTAACGGACAGGAGAGTAAGCCAATCAGGACTAATCCCTAATTCATCATGGACTATATATACTACTCTTATAGTAAAACTGACCCTGATTCATTGTGGACTATATATACTACTCTTATCTTGTAGTAAAACTGGCCAAAACTCTTATGCTAGGTGAGTAGAGGGACTGACAAATCGGGGGAGATAATGAAGAATGAAAATTTGATAAACATGCTCATATGTTGCAGCTGAACGTACAACTTGCTATGTGGTCTCTTGAACAATTCGTGGCTTAAAGATAGATAGATAGATAGACTGATAGACTAATAGACTCTGGTAGATAGATAAATAGATAGATAGACTGATAGATTATAATCTATGTGCATCTATTTCTTTACATATACGAGATTTGGCATGCACTTTAAAAGTGTTCTCAATCCAACTTTAAATATATATTTTTCTATAGACATCCTAAAGTGTCTATTTGTTTGAGTTGTAGCTTTTGGCTTAAAGATAAGTTGGTTTCTGGCTGTTGGTTTTTTTATTGACTTTTTTAATATATATTTTTTTGTTTTTCAACACACCAAATCACGCCAAAAGCCAAAAAAAAGTTCCCAAAACTGTTTTTTAGCTTTTGGTTCAATTTCTCAAAAGCCAGCTTTCCATCTTTTCAAAAGGTAGCTCAAAAGCTAAGGTGGTTTAGGACCTGTTCTTTTCTCTAGTCACAGGACTAGAGACTAAAACAGAAACTAAACTTTAGTCTCCAATCCTGTTTGGTTATAGGGACTTTTTTTTTAAATAATTTGGTTCCAGGGACTAGAGGGGACTAAAGAGCATTAAAACTATTGAACAAAAACTAAAATACCCTTGAGGGGGTGGGGGGACCGGGAGGGGTGGGGACCGGTGAGGGGCATGGGGTGTCAATTTGGCCCCATAAGTCCCTATAAGCCTCACCCCAAGAGATTAATGTCTTTTAGTCTATAGTCCCTGTTTTAGTCTCTCCTGTTTGGTTAAAAGGGACTAAAAGAGACTAAAATTTAGTCTCTAGCCTCTATTCCCATGGAAACAAACAGGCCCTTATTTCATCATTTAGCTTTTTGTCTGCCAAGTCAGCAAAAAGCTGAAACGAAAAAGGTCAGAAGTTTTATTTTCTCATAAACTCAGGAATGACTTTCACATTGATATAGCCCGTTACGTTGATACATCTCTTCTATAAAAGGATCAGTCCAAATTGCACTCAGTCTATCTAGAAAATTGTCCCCACGGAGAGGACATTTTCTATATCGGCACCAGATCGTGCGCCCAGAAGTCTCACGGTCACAGACGATTCCAGTCTTCAACGCGCTTCAACGCTCCTTCCCCAGCCCACCCCGCGCCCTCGCCCGCCCGCGCATGCCGGCATGCAATGGATCCGCCCCTGCCAGAAACAATCAGATCACATACGGAGACGGAGGCGGAGGCCGGGGTGGAGGTGTTGGGGCTGGCGGGTGGCCTTGAGGATTCCCAGGCATCGGAGTGCGAGCACGAGGACATGGGATGGGTCGGCGGAGCTGGACGCCTTGAGGTGCTGGCCGAGCTTGAGGCAGGCGAGGGCGAGGCGCTTGTCGTTGGCGGGCACGGTAGCCTCGAGGCGGGAGAAGGGCGCGAGCATGTCGCCTCGCCCCCCGTGATGCATCGCGCGATGTGGCTGCGCTGCCTCCTGCGCATGACGCTCTTGCGCGAGCCCGCCGCCAACCCCGCGCCAGCATCCACCGGTGGGGATAGCGCCCTGGCGAGAAGCGGCGGCTGTGCCGGTTCTACAGCTCGAAGGAGGGCGTGGGCAGCGCGGAGGCGGCGAGGAGTGGCGGCGGCAGCAAAGAGCAGGAGCACGCGTGGCTTACCAAGCGGGATTGCTTCCGCAACGAGTTACTGCACCGCGAATGTGAGGAACTGAAGGCTACAGTAAGGTTTGGGACTGAAATCCATCTCAAATTTTCTACCTATACTGGTGCGATTCAGGGCTGGGCATATATATGATTTTGGACTTAACTCTGATGTAATTTGGGGCTGAATTTCTTCTGCTGATGGGCATTGTTTCCTCCAAATGTGTTTTTGTCTCAGAACTTATCAGCGTTGACATTCTTGCTGCTACCCTTGACAGATTGGTTGTTTTGTTGGAAAGGGCAAGAATCTTTGCAGTCTACCTTTGCCCGTGCTGACGCTACTGTTTTGTCATGTATACCCTCACTAATATCCTGTATTTGATCAGGCGTCAAGGTTATTATTTTGGCATGTTTTTTCTAGATGGATAACATTTCTTTCCATGCTAGACATTTTGAGAAATTGAGAAATCTTACATCTATCTTTTGTGCTTGAGTGTGCTACACAATATACCATTGATTAGCAGATCTTCTGGATGCTTGAATTGTGGAGCATGGTGGTGGTAGCGACGCGGCCACTGCATCCAGGTACGCGATCCCTCACTACTTGCTCTGTCCCCATATTTGGTTCTTTTTGGATTAATCGTGGATGTGGCTGCTC